GTAAAACTTTATCAATTTAAATTATTATTGATGAATTTACTAAAATCATCAAGGCTATTAAAAAACAAATACAATTTAATACAATAATATTTTACATAGATATCTGAGACGTCGATTTACCTACTGGTCGCGGAATGGTGTACCAGGGGCAAACTATCCGGAATACGAAGCATTTATTGGCGTTCACCATGAGTGTACGGTGGAGTCGATCAAAAAATACGGCCGAGTGTACGGCACATACACGGGCTTTAGGCGCAGTATTGTCATCAATGAGCCCGACCTGCTCCGGGACATTATGGTAAAAGACTTTAACGTGTTTCCCGACCACAAGCATTTCCACATGGGCAGTTCAAAACTGGACAAAAGCTTATTTTTTATGCCCGGCGACGATGACTGGAAACGTGTGCGCTCTATACTGTCCCCAGTGTTTACATCGGGTAAACTCAGAGCAATGATGGCACACATCGGCGGCATTTCCGATGGATTGGTCCACAGTTTGAGTGAATTTGAGAAAAATGGTAAATAGTTTTTCATTTTTGTTATAAAATTTATTTCCTTGTTATTTATTAATTTATAATTTCCTAATTTAAAACAATTTATTAGTTTTAATTTTAAACGTAAAATGTAAAGTATACGTTTTGATAAATATAATTTGTATTATTTACAGTATTTTAGATATATAAATATTAATATATTTTAATTTATATTATTTTTATTTGCTAATACCTAAATATACTTACAAATTAATTAGCACAGTTCAATAACATGTTTGTATATTTTATTGAAAAATGTTTTAAAAAATTTAGCATTAATAATTAGAGTATACAAGCGATGTGAAAATTAGTTGCACAACTAATATAAATGAATACAACTGATATTGATTTTTATTACAGGAAAACCTGTTGATATGCGTAAATATATCGGCGCGTTTGCGATGGATGTGATCAGTGCCTGCGCTTATGGCATAAACCCTCAGTCTACTAGTAATCCGGATCATCCCATCGTAACCAACGCTAAGAGTATACTAGGATTAGACGCCGGACTCAATCAAATACTATCTGTTTTGACGCCCGCTTTGGCCCGATTCCTAAACCTCGAGCCCTTTCCGGTCAAAGCTGTTGACTATTTCGATGATTTGACAAATCAAATACTGAAAGAAAGAAAAGTGAACAACAAATACATTATAATTAATAATAATAAACGTAAGCTATCATGTTTATTGCAGTTTTCTATGTACTGTACTCTGTCTATAAATATAATTATTTATATTGTATATGTATAGACAAAAAGCGCACAGATTTCATACAATTAATGATAGACTCAGAAAAGTCGGACAAAGAGTCGGGTTATTATTCCGGTAGTGAACCGGAAGTGGACGACGAGTCCATCGGTGGACAGTTGCCTAAGAAAGTTGTGGGAACCCTAACACCGGATGAGTTGACGGCTCAGGGAATACTGTTTTTTATCGCCGGTTATGACACCACCAGCGCTGCCCTAACGCACGCAATACACTACTTGTCCAAACACCCGGACTGTCAGCAGATACTATACGAAGAGTTGCGAAGTTGTGATGAGTTTACGTACGAAAAGTTATCGCAATTGAAATACTTGAACGCAGTTATCAATGAAACACTACGTCTCGCGCCTTCACTAACACGTATACAACGGGAATGCGTTCAGGACTACAAACTCGGAAATACCGGTATTTTATATTATTATATTTTAATTAAAATGACATTTTTATACTAATTATTTAATATTTATAACAGGCATTACAGTACCCGCGGGCGCATCGGTCGAGATCTATCCATACGCTATACAAAGGGATCCAGACTTTTGGCCCAACCCTAACGACTTTATACCCGACCGGTTCCTAAACCCTGTACACCATCCGTACGCTTATTTGCCGTTTGGTGGCGGACCCAGAATTTGTATTGGCCAAAGGTTTGCCCTTCAAGAGATGAGAATGTGCCTGGCTAAATTAGTTAACCAATTTGAATTTATTGCCTACAATAAGACTAAAATTGAATATTTTACTGGAAATATTTTAATGTCCCCGAAAGAGCTCCTGGTCAATATTAAATCTAGAATTTAGTATAACTTATTTGACATTTTAGATAACTTTTATTTTGAATGTTTCACTGTATTATATATTTTAAATAATATTTTATATTCATTATTAATGTGCACCCAACGATTCTCAGAGTGGGTAAAATTGGGTAACTGGTACTTTAGGGTAACATACTTTATAATAAATTTATCATTGTTATATTCAAATATAATGTTACCTTAGAATAAAAGTGGTAGATTGTTTTAATTTAATGAATTTACTTATTTAAATTACAATTTTGTCTAAAATGTTGTTTAATTATTTTTATCAAGCTCTCAATCACTCTATCAATGACACTCTGACTGCAATTTAACTAATTTTTTGCATTTTGAAAACTTTTTAATAATATTTAAAAATAAATTGTAATGACATTTAAGACTTCATGTTTGTATATTAATTATACAATGCAACAAAAATAAATGCCTAGATTACAATTATTTTAATAAAATCGCTAATTTGTAAATAATTTATTTATTTGATGTTGATTTTTATATATTTTAAAAAGCATACATTTTTATCAGCATAATACTATTTAAAAAAATATTTGATTGCATTTATCAGTTTATTTATTGAGTATATTTTAAATATAAAAATTTATTAATTTACAAAAAATTATTAAAATGCAGCTTTTTAAGTTACTTTTATAAATACTTTTATGTTTATATACTATATTTATATTTGTCGTTAAAACATTTCAATTATGATTACTTTAAATACATTAAATACATTTGTAATACATTATTTTAAACCATTAGTATAAAACAATTCACACGAAATATTGCACAACACTTTATAAATATTAAAACAACTCAACAAACACTTCATATATTAAATCCTGAATATTCTGTTATCTGTTGTATTGAAAACAACTACATTTACATAGCATTACATACATTGCTTAATACAATAGAAAATGATAAAATAAGTTTTACACGCTATGAAAATACCCTGAAAATCTAGATTGAGAATAAAGTATATTTTCTATGGAGTTTAGTATGTTATATGTGCAAATACAATATAACACATAATGAATCTATACATAATTTTATTATAAGTTAGATGCATGTACACTACTTAATCTAAATAAATGTACAAATATTAAGATTATATTCGTATTGTAAATTTGTATGTTACTTGTGTAGCAACAAACATGTGATACTAGTAAATTAAATTGTTAAAATTAAATAATATTGCTAGAATTAATAAACTAAACTCCAAAATGAAGGTTATTTAATATAATAAAACGCGTTATTAATATTTAATAATAAACTAATAAAAAAAACAATCCTGATATTTCCCTAATGAAAACTTTTGTACAATAGTAATAGTAATTGTATGCAATAATAATTATTGTATGTTTGGGTGTATTTGTCATAGATACAAACAAGGCGCACACGCGATGCTATAGATAACCACTTTTCAGGCAATGCTAAAAAATCCCATAAACTTAACACTAGCACTCGGGAATATTATTACACCTAGATTTAACGTAATCTATAGGTTTAACAGTAAACCCTTATTAAAGTACAGCCATATACTTAAGTTGTAATCCTATAAAGAAGGAAGGGGGCCAAACGGAGGGGTGGCCGTACTATTATATAATCCTCTTTATTCTATATAGAATTGTGGTTAAAAGTATATAAATAGTCAGCGCATAAATTTATATATTTTAATAATCAAATACAATTCAAGGTTGAAAACAATTTACATATTACTTTATATTGTTGAATTGATAAAATTATGAGTTTCACGACATATTTGGCTGTACTTGTGGTGTTAATTACCGCCGGTTTAATGTGAGTAAAATTATTATAATTAAATGATTTGATAAAATGTTCAGGGTTATATAATTTAACATAACATTAAATTATTATATAGCTATTTGCGACGTAAATTCACCTACTGGACCCGGAATGGTGTACCAGGGTCAAACTACCCGGAATACGAGGCTTATATTGGCGTTCACCATGATTGGACGGTGGAGTTGGTCAAAAAGTGGGGCCGAGTGTACGGCACATACACGGGCTTTAGGCGCAGTATTGTTATTAATGAGCCCGATTTGCTTCGGGACATTATGGTGAAAGACTTCAATGTGTTTCCCAATCACAAAAATTTCCACATGGGCAGTTCAAAACTTAGCCAGAGCCTATTTTTCATGCCCGGCGACGATGACTGGAAACGTGTGCGCTCTATATTGTCCCCCGTGTTTACGTCGGGTAAACTGCGGGCAATGTTGAGCCATATCGGCGGCATTTCTGACGGATTGGTTGAGAATTTGTCACAATTTGAGAAGGGTAAATATTTTTAAAACTTTTTGTTATTTATATAATATTTCCTGGTTGATATTTATATCAATTTTTTATATAAATATATTTTATTATTAAATATTTTGAGAGAAAGTCAATATATTTATTTAGTACTTTGACTGAATTAAATTCTAAATATAATTAATTAACTATAATTAATTTATACTTTAAATATCATTTCTTAATGTTACAATACTACTGACGAACTGTAATATTGTAATAATTAATTTATAAGCTTATAATCTAAGGCTATAATAATTACCCAATGGAGTAATCATAGAGCTACATAATTTAATTTAATTTTTAATGTAAAGTTATCTAGATACAAATTCACAATTAAATAATTGCACGTGGTTAACTCATTAATTTTAATCATCATCACAGGAAAGCCAGTAGATATGCGCAAATATATCGGCGCGTTTGCGATGGATGTGATCAGTGCCTGCGCTTATGGCATAAACCCCCAGTCTATCAGTAATCCGGATCATCCCATCGTAACCAACGCTAAGAGTATACTAGGAGTGGACGCCGGAGTGAGTGTCATATTGTCTGTAATGACCCCACGTTTGGGCCGATTCCTAAACCTCGAGCCCTTTCCCGTCAATGCTGTCGACTATTTCGATAGTTTGACAAAACAAATACTCAGCGAACGGAAAGTGAACAACAAATACATGACAATCAATAATAATAAGTGTAAGTAATTATTTAACATGTTAGGCTCACGTAATATGCAATTATCAACGATAATTTATCGTACATGTACATTATGTACTCACAGTATATTAATAAAACTATTTATGTTGCATATGTATAGCCAAAAAGCGCACAGATTTTATACAATTAATGATAGACTCGGAAAAGTCGGACAAAGAGACGGGTTATTATTCCGGTAGCGAACCGGAAGTGGACGACGAGTCCATCGGTGGACAGTTGCCTAAAAAAGGTTTGGGAACCCTAACACCGGATCAGATGGTAGCGCAAGGTTTGCTGTTTTTCATCGCCGGTTACGACACCACCAGCGCTGCCCTAACCCACGCAATACACTACTTGTCTAAACACCCGGACTGTCAGCAAATACTGTACGAAGAGTTGCGAAGTTGTGATGAGTTTACGTACGAAAAGTTATCGCAACTGAAATACTTAAACGCAGTTATCAATGAAACACTACGTCTCGCGCCTTCACTAACACGTATACAACGGGAATGCGTTCAGGACTACAAACTCGGAAATACCGGTATTTAACAATATAATATTTGAGTTTAAACGACATTTTTTACTAATTTATTATAATTACAATATAATATTCATAACAGGTATTACTGTACCCGCGGGCGCGTCGGTCGAGATCTTTCCATACGCTATACACCGGGACCCAGACTTTTGGCCCAACCCTAACGACTTCATACCCGACCGTTTCCTGGAGCCCACACACCATCCCTACGCTTACATACCCTTTGGTGGCGGACCCCGAGTATGCATTGGGCAGAGGTTTGCCCTCCAGGAAATGAGAATGTGCATGGCTAAATTAATTCACCACTTTGAGTTTATTGCCTCCAATAAGGCTAAAATTGAATATTTTACTGGAAATATTTTAATGTCACCAAAAGAGTTCTTGGTTGATATTAAATCTAGAATATAATATAAATAAATCTATAGATTTATATTTCAGATTACCTTCAAAGACCTTATAATAGCTTCTATTCATTAATATAATTTTTTGAATTTAAAGTTTATTTTTCAACAAATCAAATAAAGTAACTTTATTTTAATTTTATTATATGGTATATGGTGATTTTCATAATTTTTCATATAATATAAATGTCATTATGTTTTTAACTAAATGAATGAATTATTTGAAAAGATTAATAAATTAATTAAGTTTAGATTTTTATTGTAAAGATTCTTGTATATGTTTTACAAAATTAATTGTATCTAAAGCTTATTTAGTATTTTAAACTTTAAAAACAAATAAAAATGAAACTTACATTATGCCAAGTAGCATCAGGAAATTGATATTCATAGTTAAACATAGAGGTTTGACAAAAGTAGACACTTCGTTGTTAGTATTTGTCAATACTATTTGATTTTATTATACATAAGGTTCATCGTTTCCCTCCCATATCTTATATCTTCCCGAAAGATAAGGAATCTTCCTTACTTCCCTTATCTTCCTCAAAAATGGGAAAATAAGACATAAATTGTGGTAAATTGACGATAAATTGAGGTATTTGTATAACTTTTATTAGCTTAAAAGATAGACCTTAACATGCTTAAGCATCGTATAATTAAATAAATTGTTAAAACTTATTAATGAATTTAATATAATTTAATTAAGAATTTATATTTTCCCAAAAAAGTGTTTCAATGGTATTCAATGGCAATGATTTGTTGTATGAGTGCCAATGCCTGTACCAGTGTTTGTTCCGCACAACAAACAATTAAATAATACGCAATTTGATTTAATAATAATTCAAAATTTTCATAAAATTTTTATAAAATTTTTGTAGAATTGTGGCAAATTTTCAAGTTTTTAAAAAGATATTTTCCCTTGAGAATTTTTGTTCCCATGCCATTTATATCTTCCGGGATTTTCCCATTTTTTGGGAGGAAAAATAAGGGAAAATATATATCTTCCCTCCCGTAATGAACCTTAATTATACATTAGTAAAAGTAAAAATTAATAAAGACTATGCTACTGACAAACTGTAATATTGTAATAATCAATTTATAAGTGTATAATCCTAAGCTATAATAATTACCTATGGGCAGATCCAGAGATACGACCTATAATTTTATTTAATTTTTAATGTAATGTTGTGTGATTCATTTGACTTTTTAACTGTGTATATGCCACATTTGGTTTATCACAGGGTATATTATTATTAAACCATTAAATAATTGTAATAATTATAACAACAATACCAATTTCTAATTTTAAAAACAAATAAGTTTAAACAATTTGAATTTAGAAAGCTAAACTCGAATACCTTACCTGTACCATTTTGATATTACCCAAAATTTATTTTTGATATTAAAACAAGATCATAATTATTTCAGTTTTATCCATGCTTTCCAAAATATATTTAAAGTTATTCAT